CCTTCCCTTCCCTTCCCTTCCCTTCCCTTCCCTTCCCTTCCTAACACCACCCCTTAAGGCTGACCTTTTTACTGGTCTTCATACACCCAGCCAGAATATCTTTTCTTACCCACGGTTTTTAGTGAGGGGTTCTATTGTTCTGGAGCTGTTTTATGATCTGCTTCAAGCCCGTTTTGGGGCTATCCATTTTAAGCGGCTAAATGTTGGGTTGTTTTAATGTCCCTGGCATGTTTTGAACTGGATGTTTTAAGATTAATAATTCTTACGTTGTTGTTTTAATGATTTCGTTATATTGTTTTTACTTAGTGAACTAAACTGAGTGGGCCTTCTAATGCTGATAAGGTGGTATGCAGTATTCTTTGGGGGGCTTCTACCGCTATAAGGAGCTACAGTGATAACTTGGCAGGCTTACGTCAGGGTCACTTCGGATGGGCAAGGCAAACATAATTGCATTTCAATGCCATGTGTTCACTCTTTGGGTGAAGAAGTACTTCCTTTTATCCGTTCTAACCCAACTGCTCAGCAATTTCTTTGAGTGCCCATGAGTTCTAGTATTCTAAGAAAGGGATAAAAATACTTCTTTCTTGACCTGCTCTATCCCATGGATAATCTTATAAACCTCAATCATGTCACCCCTCAGCCGTCGTTTCTCCAAGCTAAAGAGCCCCAAGCGCTTTAACCTTTCTTCATAGGGCCAACCCTTTGGAAGAGAGCCAGTTTGGTGTAGTGGTTGAGTGTGCGGACTCTAATCTGGGAGAACCGGGTTTGATTCCCCACTCCTCCACTTGCATCTGCTGATGTGACCTTGGGTCAGTCACAAGCTGACCCAAGGTCACATCAGTTTGTGTCAGAGCTCTCTCAGCCCCATCCACCTCACAGGGTGCCTGTTGTGGGGAGGGGAAGGGAAAGGAGTTTGTAAGCCGCTCTGAGACTCCAAGTGAAGGGCGGGGTATAAATCCCATCTCCTCCTCCTCCTCTCCTTTTATCATTCTAGTTGCCCCTCTGAAACTAGAAGCAGGTATTTATTCAATAAATATCTCTGGATAAATTGAATTGCATTACAGATGCTTGGGAGGGGCTGTGGCTCAGTGGTAGAGCATCTCCCTTGGCACGCAGAAGGTCCCCCACAGGTTCAATCCACGGCATCTCCAGCTAAAAGGACCAGGCAGTAGGTGATGTGAAAGTCCTTTGCCTGAGACCCTAGAGAGCTGTAAAGAGGGGCTGTGGCTCAGTGGTAGAGCATCTCCCTTGGCACGCAGAAGGTCCCAGGTTCGATCCCCGGCATCTCCAGTTAAGAGGACCAGGCAGCAGGTGATGTGAAAGGCCTCTGCCTGAGGACCAAGGGTCTGATTCCATATAAGGCAGTTTCATGTGTTCATGTTGGCTTTATTGTGGCTGAAGGGATGAAACAAATTCGCCTGTCTACAATCATCCTCCAGGCCTATCTCTCTGGTCACGTGTCGTCTCTGTCCATATGCTGACTTTCTAACAATCCCCAGTCAGCCATGGAAGCTTGCTGAGTGAGCTTGGGCCAGTCACAAACTCTCAACCTAACCTCCCTACACAGGAGGAGGAGGAGGAGGAGGAGGAGGAGGAG